GGTTGTGTCTTAAAATTCCGTCTGGTCAAGGAAGAGAATTAAAATCTCTGTCGGAAAATCAATCCAAATCATGATCAAATACCCATTTTTACTATTTTTTTCATTAGTTTTTCTCCTAAAACATCTTTGAATAAATCATAGAATATTTTAAATATAATTTTGGTTGAAAAAATCCGGTGGAAATTTTTAATTTGTATCAGAAACAGGTCCAATGCACCGGAATTTGCCAACCGAAATGTAATTTGTATTTTTATTAACTATTGTAACGGTCTACACAATACAATGAAAATGTTTTTGAAAATTAATGGCACCACAAAAATATGATCGTTATAACCATGTTCGATTGTATCATATTTCGAAGGACTTAAACTATCCATTAACTTATTAAACAAAAAAGCAAAAAAACTGCGAAATACATACCCATGTATGTATGTTATTGGGGTTTTTTTACCTGCTATATTTCAGATATGCACCTGGCAGTTTTTTTTTAACAATCTACAGGTTAAATCGATTGAAAGTTGTTTTTGTATTTCTTGTTGCAAACAACATCAAATATTTTACTAAAATGTATTTACAGTGGCATTGGAAAAATATTTAGACATTTTATTACAGTACATTTTTACGTTTAGACGTTTAGTATATTTTTCGTAAATAATAAAATCAAGTTTATTAAAGAAAGTTTTTATGACAAAATAATATTGTTTTTTAAAATATTCGAAATTAAAAATTTTATAAAAATTCATGAAAGAGTTGAATTTTTTTAAAAATTTTGGAAAAATGGTAATATTTGTTCTTACATGAAATGAAAATTATATTTTAAATAAATTTTTTACAAACCTTTAGAAAGAAAATTTTTTAATATTTAAGTTTTTAGAGAATCTCAACTTCTCATAGTGGGTAATATATTTAAAAAAATACAGATCGATAATCAAGTACCGTTTCCTTCAATGTACCGGTGTGAAAATATTATTTATTTACGGTTAGTAAATTAGTTTCATTACCGGCTTAACTTCAAATCGCACTTGTACCTAAAATTGCCGACAATTGTCCCACTGTAAAAATCTTTTATTATCCTTTAATATGATCCTTTTGTAAGTGTAGCTAGCATGTGTATACAACTACAAGTTGTGTATGTGTAAATAAATATATTTCTAAAGAAATAATTTACAACTTCATGAATATCCTGTCTACCAATACTTTAACACTATGATTTAAGTGTTTGTAAGTGTGTGAGTTTATGTAGTTATATTTACACAGATTGAAACCGTCAAGTCTTGAGCTCTGTTTAGTGTGTTGTAGCCCGTGCTTACGTGAACATTTATGTTACGTTCATTGAAATTTGTTTAAAAAAATACTCTTAGATATTAACAAAAAAGAAAAGATATTATGTGATAAAAGTCTTAACTTTGCACATTTACACAATTCGAGTAAATAATTAAATTGAAAGTGTAAATGTTAAAAACGAACTAAAACTATTTTGTTTTATTATTAAATAAATAAACAATTATGATTATATGTATATCTGGATTTATTATTGGTGAAAGGTCTGTGTTTAAATGAGTTATTTATTCATCTTTTATCTAATTACCAACATATTGTTAAATATATGATACTCGTAAAAAAAGCTTACACTAAATTACACTTTACTAACACCTAAAAATGTGATTCTTTTTCAAAATTAGATTTACATAAATAAGAAATAATTGTATCTGAATTTGTGCAAATTTGTATTGTTTATTTGATATAAAATTTTTGTATTATTAACATCAAAAGAAAGCACTCTTAACTGAATGACGATTTTTAAATTGTTTTACTGCACAAACTGCAGTTTCTCCCAAAAAAAAATCGCAATACTGAAAATGGTAAAAAAATAGCATAGTGATTTACAAAACAATTGTTTCTTTGGCAAACTTTTTATGATATACACAAATTTTATTTTACTTATCATTTTTAACTATGAAATTTTAACTACAGATCAAAAAGTTATCATCTATAATTAATATTAGAAAAACTAAAGACCAGTTAGTAAAATATGTATCGAACCACCTTCGCTTTTATAAACTTATGTAGATTTTAGAAACCATCCACCATGTTGGTTTCTTGTATTTTACACACAATTTAATTAAAAAAAAAGATTTAGTCATACAGTGGACGTCCAATAGTACGTATAATCTTTATTACGAATATCCAATAATACGAATGGCAAAATTGTTGCATTGTCTACTCTATAGTACGAATAAAGTCACAATTTTTCTGTTCGATAGTACGAATAACGCATTTTTTATGTGAATTTTGGTTTTATTTACGTATGAATGAAGTTTTTATTATGTTTTTATTTTATTATTTCGGTATCATTGACCTTAAGCTCAGTAATTTTGAAGTTTTTTTGTATTTATTACAAGTGTTTTGTATTTTTAAAAATCCTATACACACCATTTACTGCATGTATATTTACAAATCAACAATTATTTAGTGTTATTAATTTATTTTATTGGAATTTTGATGACCCAAGAGAAGAAATTAAATTGGATGATAACGCCAATGAGGAAAGTATTTTATTAGTTCCCGACAATAACTCTGCTGAGAACAATATTGAAGCCTCAAAAGCGCTGTTATTGAAAAAGCCGTAAGAATCATTTTACAATGTAATAAACATCGATGTTAAATGATGGATTTTTAAATAAGTAAAATGATATTTATATACATATGTATATATTCCAAACAATGGGTTTAAGGATAACTATTCTAATTTTTAAGAGAAAATTATAAATTAGAGAATTGTGGTATATTCCATTCAAGTTTCTAATAAAAGTTTTATGTAATCTGAACATTTTAATACATTTTAGAACACATATGGAAATTGCAAATTGTCTTTGGCACACATCTTTTTAAAAACATTATTAAAATTTAAATCCTTCTACATACAGTGAATCAATTAAGTAATTTGCCTATGTAAAATTTTATAAATTTTAAGAAAAAACTTTATCTGAACAATTATTTTTAGCAAAATAGAGCAATTTGTTTGTTGTATTTTTTAAAGAATATCTTATATTTTAATTTTCTACCATAAAAAGTAAAATCGTGATATAAATTAACGAGATTTTTGATAAAATGTGAACGTATTGTTAATTTTTAAGGTCAATAAAGTATTTTGTTTTTTTAGGTTTTTTGTTCATTTTTTTTAATATTGCTGCATTATTTTATAAAATTTAATATTTTTATTCTCCTATGTATTAGAATAACATTTTTTAGATATTTTAGTAGTGGAACGACTAAGTTTGGACATTTCTTAACCGATTTATTATCCTATATACCTATAAGAATTTTTCAATATTTAACTTAACATGAAATCTATCGTTTCTTTGATTTAATTTCGAAAATAATAAGTAATTTTGAATTGGATACATGATATATTAGGAAATCAATGGATTTGGACCTAGAAAAAAATTTTAGTGGGGTATAAATCTATAGATTATAACAAAAATTATCTGGGTTTTTTTATTTTGTATTGATAAACAAAAACTACATTACGGGAACCCCATCTATTTGGGGAGTACTGTGTGAATTTCATTTAGAATTGTATAATATTGATTCTTATTCAATAAAGCTAACACTAAGTACCATCCTAGCCACTCTAAGTATGGGGATATCATCGTATACCACTATAGAACTATTACATGCTAGAATCTTGATATTCTACCTCATATTTTGAATGCATTATTTTATGAATAAAATACACTAGGCGTAGTTGGATTTGGATAGTTATTCTTGATTTGGGTTCTAACTATATATAAGTGTATGTATTAGCTGAAATATATTGCTTTTGTGGATCTTTGGTGATGAGAACCGCCTCTATTTGTAAATATCTAAATTAAGTATTTTTCCCGTACCACACTATAGTTCACTTTATATTGTTTCCAAGCAACCTAAGGTCTGTTTAGAGGTCTAAATTTAAACATAGTGTTCTTTTAAGTTCGTATATGGACTTTGGAGAAGATAAATGAGGACTTCAATGGTTTTTGCTTTGATACAAGTCGCTCTCCTTTGGCAGTTAAAGATTTTGAAAGACAACTCAGTGCGTTTTTTTTAATAATTCTTTGTGTTATTTCATCAATTTCTATATTTTATATTTTTTAATGATGGACTAAACATCTCAGAATTGAATTTCATTGATTTATACTTGTTTTAAAAATCTAAACTAATTTTTTATATTGGAATTGCCTCATTATTTCCCTTTAAACATTTTTAACGCAAATAACTACACAGTTTCACACAATAAGGATATGATTTTTGAAAATTACAATTGAAAAATACTTATCACGTGTCCTTTTAACAATAAAATAATTTGAAAAACCCAACGAAATTAACTGGAAATTTCAATATGCAAAATACTTTATATACGTGCAAATTCTGATGAAAAATAATAAAATGCAATAACAAATGCACCAAAATTTTTATTTTTATTTTTTTTCTTGGTTTTCCCATTCTACACAATCTCTATTTTCAATTGGAAAACATAAATTTACTTTTTACCTTTTTTTTGAATTTTATTTATGAACAAAAAACAAAATTCTCTTAAAAAAGGTAGGCAAAAAACTTAGTTGATTCACTGTATATCTCATTTCAACCATTGGACTCACGATACTTTCAAAATTAACAATTCATATACGTAAATATGTCAATTTTATGCCTGTTTATGTACAAGAAATTTATTTAAAATAATACACATTTATTATATTTTGTTCCGTTATGTAATTTTTCATGAAAAATAAAACAAAAATAAATAAAATCCAATATTTTATGTGTATTATTTGAATTTAAACATACAAAATGTGTTGTTCAATAATACGAATTTTTCGGTATTACGAAAGGGGCTGACACTATAATTCGTACTAGTGGACGTCCACTGTACTTCCTAGAATAGTGTACGTAAGACGGAATATTTCTTAATTTATTATTGTCCAAAATTCGTTTAAATTTCGAAAAAAAAACTTATTTTGTTGGATTTCAATTGTGCGAATGTTAGGTTATTGACAATTTTTTATATACGTCATGTTAATTCTTACAATATTTACTTCTTGCAATTTTAAAATAATTAATTTGTCATTTTATTTCAGTTTCCCACAAAAACCAATTGAACGAAGTGGATCAGCTCAATATGGTATTGCTGGAATACCTGCATCAAATACTTCTGGCTCTGAGAGTGGTGGATATGTTTATTTACAACAGCACTATGTTCCCACATCGGCATCAACCAATTCGTCAAATTCAATACCTTATTCAACGGACAACCAGCCATCTGTGGTCTTCCAACAACATCCACAGCACTACGCATCGTGCCATCAACAACAACAGCAACAACATCAATTGCCTATGAATTTTCATACAGGTAAAGTTTTTTTTAATAATTTCGACTATGGCTACAAATTAATATTTTTTTTATTTAATACAATATTTATAGGTGGAATACATTATGCTCATCACATTAATACCCATGACCATGGTTATCATAAAAACCACCATCATCATATTCACGGCCACCATCAACATCATTACCATCATGGAGGTGCGGTTGTTATAGCTGGTAGTGGTGTTGGTACTGGAATAGGTAGTGGTGGTACTTCACCTTCTTCAATGCACCAACAAAATGCGAATAAAAAAAATACAATTCGTAATGGCAGCGAAGTACTGAAACGATCCAGAACACAGTCTGCGTAAGTTATTAGATGCGAAAATTAAAGAAAAATATTTGTCATTGCTTGCAAACTATTCCAATCACAATGTTTTTTAAGAAATTTACATATAAATTTGTGTTAAGCTATCGTTACGCTAAAATAACTTTTCAGTACTACTATCTATATATAGAGGTATACCTCCAAAATACTGTTACAGATAATTCTAAATACTGTTATCGCTAAAGTACCGATACCTAAATAATCCAAAATACCTGTAACGCTAAGATAACGTTACCGAAATAAGCCAAACTACCGATAACGCTAAAATAACGTTACCGAAACAAGTTTAAATATCGAAACCGCTATATTTTCATGTTTCAAAACGGTTGCCAACCTTATAAATTTGTATTCGTATTGGCTTAAATCAGACTTTTAATCTTCTATTTTTACTTTTGGTCAAGAAGATCTACTTATCGCAAAGTACACATCTCTATGTAAACCTATTAACCACAGTAAAATTTTTTGTGGGCTATAAAATTAATCCATTTTCTTTGTATAAACAGTGCCCCTCGTAATGTTAACTATACACTAATAAATTGATAGCAAACAATAGTTACCCTCAAAAAATTAATTTTATGTTTATAATTGACGTTTACATACTAATATTGCGATAAAATTTAGCATTTTTTATCAACCTAAATATCTTTACCGAATTTTAAAACAATATTGACCCTAGATCAGAAAATAACTTTGATTATATAATAATTGTACCAATCCCCGATAGAAAGCCTCTTTTAAAACCCAGTCCAATAATTTTATATTCAAATAAATATCGATTTTGTAATAAAATTCAATACCAATACATATGTTTACGTCTTTCACGCATATTTGACACTGATGTTTGACATCACGACTACAGTGAGTTGTTTACTGTATGTATTTTAATGAGAGCGGTCACAATCAATACGTCAAACTTGTGCACGAAGTAAAAAAGTTGAAATATATTCAACTTTGGCGTACGAAAAAACAAAAACAAAACTGTCAAAATTATTGTTTGTCTTTTTTGTAGTGTATAATTGTGATTTGTGTGTGCGCGAAAAACACCATTTTTATATTAAATATTTTTATACAAACATTAAATATTTTATATTGAAAATTTTTTATATTATTAAAAAATATTTAATTATTTTTGCATACTTTATCAACGCAACGATTGGACATCACTTTTTTTAAGTTACGTAGCTGTCAGTCGCAGTTCGTCTTAAAGTATTGTATGTGTTTGGACCTTATGTCCTTTTGTAGAATTTGATAAAACTGCATTCTTATAATATTCTGCGAAAACACAGTTTTCGATAAACATTTGTTGTCATTAAAACACATCAAAATAAAGCACTTTCCATATTTACAGAATACATTCTATTACATACGTTTGAGTTAAGTTAGTGTGAAAACTATTTGACCATTGTAGCTTGTTCGCTCGATATGTAAGACTAGTGACTGACAAAATTTATTATACACAAAACTCACTTGTTAATTAGTATTTCATTTGAGTTTTTATTAACATGAATGAACCTACGTTGGTTTACTTTATCAACACCATTTCCATTTGCCTGATATAAACTATTAGGGAATTTTTTTCATTTGAAAACATATACAAAGAATAAAATTCGAGAAACAGAACTTATACATACCTACATGTATGTATGTATATAACATACATGTATAACATGTACTTTTAACAAAAACATTGGATTGCTAAACCAATGTGAAATGGAATAAACTGGAAAATTTAGCACATTTTATTAACACAATTGTGTACAGGTGTTTCGATAAATTTGTATCAAATACAAACGTATATGATTGTATATGTTATACAATACATTTGAATATGCTTAGCAGTACAGTATTGATGAATATATTAGGAAGAGTTTAAATAAATAGATAGTTTATAATATTTTCCAAATTATAATATCAAATCCCTATATTCAAAAAGTGTTAACTCAAAGTGAGTTTTTGATGGCAAATGGTTCTGGTATAAATTTGGGATCAGAATATTACCTTTTAAGCTTTTTGTATCTGCTTTTGTTATTTGGCTATTTCAAAGTATTTTTTTAAGAGAAGTGCTATCTATTTATTTTTAAGAGAAGTGCTATCTATTTTACAAATTTAATAAAAATAGTTTATTAAATATCGCTGAATTCGATATTTAGTTCCGGTAATATGGTCATATTTATTTTGCCAATAAATGTTTTAATTTTCTTCAAAATGTGAAAACTCAAGAAAATTCCTAGAAAAATACAAAATGTTTTCATTTGTATACATTTAAGTCTTAATTAGTAAGATTATTGTAAACATATTATTGAAAGTAAGTTATTAATTCAACATTACGAAAACAAGATTTATTTTAATTTAGCACTTTTTGAATATAGTACCTCGATTTGTAATTGGAATCGGAATGAATTAAATGTGAAGAATGTTTTAATTTTTGTCTGAATTAAGAGAAATTAAATTAATTTCAATACATATTAAGAGAATGAAATATAATATATCAATGTTTTTATACTCTTGTATATTATAAACAAAACTTCAATATGTATTCATATTTTTTGCAAACACTGTCAGCGGTACTCACACAATTTAAATTATAAATGTTCATACATAACATACATACATGTGAACGTGTGTTTTTGTTATAAAATCAACAAACTTTTCTAGCTTGGAATGTTTATATTTCTTTTGTATGTATTTTGGCAAAATGAACAACTGACTGACGTACGATAATTATTATCTTATCTTTTACCTTACCTAAAGAAAAAAACTTTACAATGATAAGCCATCCAGTCGCAAACAATTGTTACTTGCAAAATCATTTTAGAGATCATTTTTCTTCAATTTTCTACATCCCAATAACAATTTAATTGTACAATTGCGGTAAAAGCAATTGTATTTGTAATTAATTTAAGAACAATTTAATGTGTGAGTGTATTTGTTGTCCCTTAGGTACGAACTTTCACAGGATTTGCTTGAGAAGCAAATTGAATTGCTGGAACGTAAATACGGCGGCGTACGTGCTCGAAACGCTGCAATTACAATTCAGAGAGCATTTCGTCACTACATGATGGTAAAGAAATTTGCGTCAATAACAGCAATGGCCAAAGCAGAAAAACGACTAAGTCGGCGCACAATGGTCGTTGGTGGCGCCACAGCAGTGGATGAAACAGCGGCAGCTAATATGTCAATGTCTTCCGCATATAGTAGTAATACCGAATCTCAATTAGAGCCAAATCAATCTAACACAGTGTCCGTGCAAGGAACTCAGCAGCAAATACAACCACGCGTTACTATAATGCCAGGTCCTCCCGGTGGCGTTGGACATCAATCTTTGGCATCCGGCTCTAGAACACCACCGACACGATCGTTATCGATGCGTGAGCGGCGACACGTAGATGGCGGCACAATACCACGCAGTCAATCAGGTACTAACACATCTCCATTAATAAGAGCTATAAAATATAATTTTTAAATAAACATTTGAATATTTTAGGCGCTTCCAACACTTCGGCCTCAAGTTCGGTGTCTGCCGGTGTATCGGGATCAAGTCATCCTCATGTTAACTTATTGCATACAGCAGATCCTCATTACTATGCAGCTCATAGTTTAAGTGGTGCACAAATGGCAGCTTACTGCGGAAGTTATCACTCCGTTCAGCACGACGGAAGTTTTGCAAGTTCTGCAAATAATTCGCACTTGGATTCCTCACTCAACGTGTCTTGGGTAAATGCGAGTGGGACTTCTCCACATACACCATACTATTCGGCAGCTCAAATTTATATGAGGCCTCGCGGCTCATCAACTTCGTCGCAGGATCGAAAGAAAATTCCACCAGAGGTGCCAAAGAGAACATCCTCAATAACTGCTCAGCAACATGCACAACATTTAGCGGCTCAGCAGCAGCAAATCCAAATGCATCAGCAAATGATGGTGATGCGACAAACTCCCCCGCCTCCCTCGCTAATACGTTCAAATGGCCTTTGTAAGTCGGCTGAAAACGGCAGTCTAACGTCGGTACAGAGTTCAGGCAGTGACTCGAGCGCTACTTCTGTAGAACGTAATGCCATTAGCGATTTGGGATCGGATCGCTCAAACTCTCCAAATACTTGGAAGCGTGGCACTAATCTCAACAGTTCACAACAGTTTGTCCACACTTCAGATCCAGCATTTGCACACGCACAAAATTCAGCAGCAATGGCAGCACTTGTAAGTGGTGTTGCACCTGTGGAAGACCATGCTATTTCATCTCACACTAGTGCTGCTCAGTATGAGCACCACGAGCAACATGAGCATCAACAAATAATAGGAACGACTACCCAAACTCCTCCCAATTTCAAGGTATCTGAAACCATCCGCAAGCGCCAGTATCGTGTTGGTTTGAACCTGTTCAATAAGAAGCCAGAAAAGGGAATAACTTATCTAATACGTCGAGGTTTTCTGGAAAACACTCCTCAAGGCGTCGCCCGTTTTCTCATTACACGCAAAGGATTATCACGGCAAATGATAGGGGAATATTTAGGAAATTTACAAAATCCATTTAATATGGCCGTACTTAATTGCTTTGCGATGGAACTGGATTTGTCTGGAATGCAAGTTGATGTTGCATTGCGGAAATTTCAAGCTTATTTCCGCATGCCCGGCGAAGCGCAAAAAATCGAAAGGCTTATGGAGATATTTTCACAGCGATTCTGTCAATGTAATCAAGACATTGTGGGCCGACTAAGATCATCAGATACGGTGAGTTGTTCAAAGACAAAACTATTCAAAAATGAAAAATACATATTTTATCTCTTTCAGATCTTTGTACTGGCGTTTGCTATAATTATGCTAAACACCGACTTACATACACCCAATTTGAAACCAGAGCGACGTATGCGTGTGGAGGACTTTATAAAAAATCTTCGTGGCATTGATGATTGTCACGATATCGACAAGGATATGTTGGCTGGAATATATGAACGAGTTAAAGCAAATGAATTCAAACCTGGAAGTGACCATGTGACTCAAGTGATGAAGGTTCAAGCAACAATTGTGGGAAAAAAGCCAAACCTAGCACTGCCGCATCGTCGCCTAGTGTGTTATTGTCGCCTCTACGAAATTCCCGATATTAACAAAAAAGAACGACCTGGCGTTCACCAACGTGAGGTGTTTCTTTTTAACGATCTACTAGTCATTACAAAAATATTCAGCAAGAAAAAATCATCGGTAACATACACATTTCGCAATAGTTTCCCACTATGTGGAATGGTTGTTACGCTCTTGGATGTGCCCAACTATCCCTTCTGCATACAACTCTCACAAAAAGTCGATGGCAAGATTCTTGTTACTTTCAACGCTCGCAACGAGCACGATCGCTGCAAGTTTGCAGAAGATCTCAAAGAATCTATTTGTGAAATGGATGAGATGGAGTCTTTGCGAATTGAAGCCGAACTTGAACGCCAAAAATCAGCGCGAACACGTGCCACAGGTAATTCGGAAAATCGAGATAGTGGTGTGGCAGATGTTGAAGTATGTCCCTGTCCTTACCAAACGCCACAAACCAACGAGCCTACACAGAATCCAACAGAAAACACACAGCAGTTAAAGCGAAGTGCCCTAAGCAATAGTTTATTGGACATACATGAACAGTGTAAGTATTGATTCGTTCATCAAACATACATACATACATACATACATACATACATACATACATACATACATACATACATACATACATACATACATACATACATACATACATACATACATACATACATACATACATACATACATACATACATACATACATACATACATACATACATACATACATACATACATACATACATACATACATACATACATACATACATACATACATACATACATACATACATACATACATACATACATACATACATACATACATACATACATACATACATACCAAAGCATGGAAAGAATGAATTCTATTTGGAATTAATTCCTTATATTTTTAATTCGGCTTTAAATTTTTTAATGTACCATTCTTTAAAATCATTCTTTGAATTTAAATTCTAAAGCTGAATTCCTTGGCTTTATATTCCATTGAATTAATTCCTAAGAGAATTCATTCTTTATAGGAATGAATTCAATTGAATGATCATTCATATTTGTTTAATTCCTTCTATTACAAATTGAATGAAAAAAAAAAATTTAATTCAATTTTTAATATACAGAATGCTTTTGAATTATAAAACAAAATTTTCATTCAATCTATTTCAAATTGAATGGTTGAAAATTTTTTAAATTCAATTTGTAATAGATTGAATTCAAACAAAATTTATATCATTCAGAGGGAATTTAAAAATCAATAGGAATTGTTGAAATTTATTTTAATTCAATTTGTAACAGATTGAATGCAAACAAAATTAATTCATTCAGAAGGAATTTAACATTCTATAGGAATTAATTCATTAGAGAATTAATTCAACTACATCGAAAGCTTTAAGAATTAATTCTAGGAATTAAATCAAACGGAATGAGTTTGAAGAATTGTTAATTTTTTAAAATATAACTCAATTTCAAAAAAAGAATTAGGGAATGAATTCTTTTAGAGCTTTGATACATACATACATACATACATACATACATACATACATACAATAATTCGGGTTTTTGTATTGTGTATTCGGTTTAATCGTCAAATAATTATTTGAGGTTTTATGTTAGCCGGTTAATAATCGGATAATTAAATTAAAATGAATAAAAGGAAAATGTATTTTTTTATTAATTTTATTGTTTTTTACAATATTTTTCTTTTTATAAAAAAACAGACTTTTTTAGTTCAATTCTATGATAGTATTTCTTTAATATTAGAAATTATTTATTTTCATTTGAAATCAATTTCTCTATAAAAAAATTTAAATTTGTTCGATGTGGAAACATTTATTTAATTAGTTTGTGTCCAACTAAGCAAAAATCGAATTGCTGTTAAATAATTCATGTTAAGCAGTCATTTTGTTTTATTCCCCACCACTTTAGTGGGGAGGGTATATGGCTGGCTGGCTGTCCATGTAAACCTTGTGCGCAAGATAATTGGATGAAATTTGGCACGCACGTTTTATTTGACCCAAGGACGAAGCCTATTGAAAATGGTTAAAATCGGTAAATTATTTCACCTAGCCCCCATAGAACAGAACCCCCCGAAAAGGGCTTCTGAGCTCATAATTATGTTAAATAAACAGATATATCGATAAAATACGGCACAACTAAGTTTTATAGAAGTCGTGATGACCCTGCCAAATTTCATAAAGATCGGGCCCCATTTGACCCTAGCTCCCATACAAAGTCCCCTTCAGAAAATTACTTGAATGTCCCAAATTAACTTATAAACACAAATATCGCGATGAAATTCAGCACAATAAAATATTATGTAAGTTTTAATATATTCACAAAATGTTATCGGGCTTGGTCCATATTTGCCCCTAGCCCCCATAAAAGCCTCTTTCAGAAAATTAGTTTTTCATCCATAAATTGCTTAAATGTATCGGAACAAGGGAATATTGAAGATAAATGCTTTATTATGAAAAATAAACAAATAAAGGGTATCATATGGTCGGCCACGCCCGACTATACTTTCTTACTTGTTATAGATATGTATAAATTTCGAAAAAAAAACACAACAATTATTTATTTGTCTAAACTCAAATTTGAAAAATAAAAATCTGATATACAAAGTAGGTGTTAATATGTTGCTCACCTGAACATATACTAAAGTTTTAATTATCAAATATACGTGAAAACTTGTATTTAAGTTTCGACGTTTACAACAAAAAAGTTTTTCTGTATCAAAATTTACATACTTACTATATGACATACATGCTATACATTTGCTATTCCATCTCCAACTTTTGGGGAGAAAATTTGTTTTTATTTGGTATTTTTTCTTCCTTTTTATATTATATATTATATGTATATATATTATATTACTCCTAACATTTTGTTATTAAAAATTGTTTATTTTGGGGAGAAGTTTTCTATTTTCACCCCGCTGCATCTGTGTTTGTACTATACATATGAATTTATACATATAAACAAAAGAGTATGAGAAATGTAACATGACAATTTTTCATTTTGTCTTTTATGTCCACAAATCAAATTCTAAAAAGAAAGCTTATTTCCTGTTATACATATGAATGGGAGAATATAAGGAATGTAGTGGGAAGAAAACATGTCACAAATTATATATGTGGAAATGCCAAAACTTATTTTATTTTATTTATATATTTTATATCAAAGCATAATTATTTTGTTGTGTAGTTTTAGTATTATTTATCTAGAATTGTAAATTTTTAAGATTTTTTTATTATTTACAAATAAAATATTTCAAATTGTACCAAAATATTTATTTGTTGTCTTTTTTATTAAAAATCTTGAATGAAATCATATGAATTAAAATATTTTAATACAGATAAGAATAAAATCTATACATAAAATATTCCAATAATCTGTACTTTTTATTGTAGTCGGTGGCGATAAACCCCAGAGACGTGGCAGTGTTGGCTCTCTAGACAGTGGTATGTCAATATCATTTCAATCGACTACAACCAGTAATGCATCACGTGAAAACGCCGCTGTTATAGCAGCTGCAGCAAATGCTGCCGCCGCTAAAATGAGATTGGGCCCAACTGCGGCTGCACCTGCTGGAAGCTTATATATCGCGCCAGGTGTTCAGGGTTATAATCAAATTTCTTATATCCAACAACAACATCCGCATATTATGCAACAACAGCAACAACATCAGATTCAGCAAACACAGCAACATCAACAATCTCAGGCACCAGCAACTGGTCGTATACCCGGGCGTGAGAGAAAACTTTCCCGTTCCGAGGAAAACAGATCGACTGAAGTTTAAAAAAATAATATTGAAATCAATCAAATATTTTTATATCATCGTCTCTTCTATCTCATAAACCCCATGCATCCCTTAATAATCTAATTCACTAAACTAAATGTTTTATTTTGTCAAATACATCATATAATACGATATATTACTCTTTCCCTTTTTCATACAGTTTTGTATTATTGGTTTCGATAAAAATATATAATACATATACATACATACATATATAGACACATATATTTAATATAAAACCTTGTCTTCAAAATGATAAAATTATTAATTTTTGTAAATTAGCATTTAAGTATTATCTACATACATGCATATATAGATACACATACATACATACAAAAATAAATAAATTAAAAAGCAAAATAAAAACATTTCTATGGACTAAACTATTAACTAATATTATTATAAAATAACAAATAAATATTCTATATTCATATGTAACTGTGTATGTATGTTTCGACGGATTATATACCTACATACATTTATTTGTATGTATGCATGTATATCCATATGCATATATATTTATATATTAATTTATATGTACATCTATTTATCTGTATTATTTTAGTAAATATTAATAATCCTAAACATGTTTTGTATATATTTTAATTGACACAAAAGCATTAAAAAGCAATTTAAATGAAAAAGTGAAATTAATATGTTTTTTTTTCCAAATATAAACATTAATACAAAAAGACTACACAACTTTAGTGAGAACAATAACGACACTGCAAAGCAGTCTGATGAATATATTTGCAAGTATTTAGGAAATATATATTTCCTGGAAATTATCAGTGTTTTGTAAATTTATTTTTTTTTTAAATTTTTGAAAAACATAATATTTACAAGAAGAGTTTACATGTTTTATTTGTAATATAAATCAAATTTATATCAAAGTAAATAAACGTACATATATCTAAAACATACTTCATTTATCATATGGTCTCATATTTTAAAGCCTCGGTTTACATGTAGAAAATTTATAGTTCTCCTAATAATGGAAAATATTCGTTGGTAAAAACAAAAGCCTTATATAGTATTTATTCATATAGCCCCTTATTCACAAACAACATTTTTATTTTATAAAAGGTTTATAAAATAAAATTTCCATACAAAATCTAATTTATAAACTGTTTATAAAATAAAAATTTAAAAATAAGGGGGATAGTATTTATTCATTCATTACCGTCCGATGTTCAGAATCCAGTTAATTGGACCTAATTCCCAAGAATATTCAAATCAAAGTGAGGCGACATTATATCAGGAATAATTTGCTTGACAATGGCAAAGAAAGTGCTCAAGAGTTTTATTGTCCTGTCTACATTTTGTGTAGCTGTTGTACCCGTACTCATACGTCATACTTAGTAGAAAAGTTATTAAATAAATCACGCAGTGGTTTTATAAAATCGTCTTTAAGATTTTCAAAGTAATGAAAATTATTTTTCATTTAACAGACATTTTATAAAAATGATGATTCTAAGTTTAAACAAAGTTGTTAAAACTAAAGTACAATATTTGAATATAAATTGGTCATCAACACCCCTTCTCAATATAACAAATATTGTTAACAATTAGTCAAGGGACTATATTCAATAGTCTCTATCTAAAATAACTGTTTTTTCGCTAGTTCGTGAAGATTTTAAAAATTTTTTCTTCTATAATACATTAATACGACCATATCTAAAACTCTTATAAAACTATTTTTTTCTACGAAAATTTTTATACAACCAACAGATAGAGAGTTTTTCATAGAAATAAAAAATTTTAATATCATTTAATATCAATCAATATTATATTTTATGCAATTTAATGGAGTAAAAGAAAACAAATTGTTAAAAAGCATCAACGTTATATGGTTAATCACGACAGTAAAATGAAACTAAGTAGTATCATAATGAGCGATATCTCGGAAAATATTAGGCCTATTTTTACTTATTTGTGTTCTGCATGTTGAAATTAGTAACCGAAAGTTATCCAAAGGGATAGAGTTTAAAGCATTTTTGGAATAGATAGAGAGTTTTGCATTCAGATTTTTTTTCTTTTTTTAAGATAGAAAAACATTCAAAATGCTATAAAATTACCAAAAATATGTTTTTGTCTTTGAAATTTATATCATTGACGGGGGATTGTTTGCTGGATATTTTGCCATCAAAATCTCATTTTCATGCAAATTACAGATAGCGACTATTGAATATAGTCCCTCATTATAAACATAGAACAAAATTATAATTAATGACATAAACCAATTAATTCTCTAAATTTACAAATTTTAATTTTATGTAAAGGTAAATAAATACTCATAACTAATTATGTTTTCCTTTAACAAATCTCTCACAAAATAATATTTTACGTCTATATGTTTGCTTCTTGGATTAATCTTTTCTTCTTCTATTATCTTGAGGCAACTCTGGTCTTCAAAAATGACAGGTTTTGATATTTCGATTTCAAATTCTCCTAGAAGTTGTATAATCCATAGCATTTCTTGCGATGCTTGTGCCAACGCCACAAATTTTGCTTCAGTGGATGATAACGTAACATTTGTTTTGTTTTCGACTTGCGTAACTAATTGTTGTATCTCCAAGTTTAAATAGGAACCCATTTATAGGTTTCCTACTTCATATTTTCCCAGCCCAATCAGCATATCCATTTAGTTCCAACGAGTTTTTAGTTCCAACACAAAGTTTTAAATGTTTGGTACCTTTGAGATATCTAATTACCCTTTTTACTTCGATCCAATCTCGTTGATTTGGGCCGCTTACTTTTCTTTGATACAGCAACAGATATATCTGGTGTTGTTTGAAATATACAATAAAGAACCAATAGCATTTAGATTTAGCGTCAGAAAGATTAAATTCATTTATAATTTTATTTATGTACTAGCTATACCCAGTGGGCTTTGCTACCCTAAAAGGAATATGTATAAATAAAACTCCCACTTAACGATTTTGAAGATCCTTACTACAATAGTTTTCCAGATTTATAATATGTTACATATGAGAGATGTCAAGCAAATTATTGCAAGTTCGTCAGTTTCTATCTATCGCCGATTTATATCTATCTATAAAAAATTTAAATAATATAAGAGTTTCTAAGATGCACGAAATTTTGTATTTAATTCATATATGTTGTTTCAAGCCACCCATTGAGAGTCCGCCCATTATTCTCTAAATGTTCACATGTATTTCAAAGTTCTTTATGTAAAATTTGAAGATTCTAGCTCTAATAGTTTCTCAGATATACGACTTTTTCTATTTGATTCATATAGGGGCTTCAAGACCCCCCAGATGAAAGTCCACTTTTTTTCCTCCAAAATGTTCAGATGAATATTTAAGTTCTTCGTGCAAAATTTGAAGAATTTAGTTCCATTAGTTTTCCAGATAAACGAATTTTTGTCTTTAATTAATAAGGGAGGTGCCGCTTCCCTCAAGGGTAGTCCGTCAATTTATTACCCAAAATATTTAGATGAATGTTAAAGTTATTCGTGCAAAATTTGAAGATTCTAACTGTAATAGTTTTTAAGATAAACGTATTTTTGTATTTTATTTATATGGAAGGTGCCACGCCCCCTAATGCTAGTCCGCCTACTTTTTGTCCTAAATAATTATATTGACACTAAAGTTGCTCCGACAAAATTTGAGGACTCTAACTGTTATATTATCTAAAATATACGGATTTAATATTTTCTTAATATGGGCGTGGCTCCTCGCCCACTTGGAATTTCAAAATAAAAAGTAGCCTATTACCTACAGGAATATGTTGTGAAACTTTGAATAAAATTGGTTCAGCCGTTTAGTAGTCTATTACATTCAGATATACAAATATATAAACATACAAACAAACACACACATATATATATATATATATATATATATATATATATATATATATATATATATATATATATATATATAGATTCTTCTTGAGATAAGTAGAAAATTCCTTCTTCGATTTATATTTATTTATAAATATAATTTTATCATTTCATCTTTGCATCATCCACATAAATTAATATGTACGTATTTCTTCAAACAATTAATTGTTTTTACGTAGAGACACGGATCTGCCCTTCCCCTTCTGAATCCAGAATTAATTAAAACTTCATTAATTTTTAGATTCCAACAGCGAGCAGATTTCTTAAAGCCGTATATGCTACGTTTTAATTTGCATACATACTCTTCCTTACCAGCTTCCACAAACCCTTTGGTTTAAAATAGAAATTTTTGCGCATTTGTTGTTGCATTTTATTATTTTTCATCAGAATTTGCATATTGCATATTGAGAATTCCAATTAATTTGGTTGGGATTTTCAAATTATTTTTTAATTGATTTTTGGAATTTATTGTTTTATTGTGAAAAGGACACGTGTTAAGTATTTTTCAATTGTAATTTTCAAAAATCATATCCTCATTGTGTGAAACTGTATAGTTATTTGCGTTAAAAATGTTTAAAGGGAAATAATGAGGCAATTCCAATATAAAAAATTAGTTTAGATTTTTAGAACAAATGTAAATCAATGAAATTCAATTATGAGATGTTTAATCAATATCATTAAAAAATATAAAATATAAAAAATATATAACTGATAAAATAACAAAAAGAATTATTAAAAAATACGCACTGAGTTGTCTTTCAAAATCTTTAATTGTCAAAAGAGGACGACATGTATCCAAGGAAAACCATTGAAGTCCTCATTTATCTTCTCCAAAGTCCATATACGAACTAGAAAGAACACTATGTTTAAATTTAGACCTCTAAACATACCTAAGGTTGTTTGGAAACAATATAAATCGAACTGTCGTGTGGTGCAGGAAAAATACTTAATTTAGATATTTACAAATAGAGGCGGTTCTCATCATCTAAGGTACACAAGACCAATATTTTTCAGCTAATACATACACTTATATATAGTTAGAACCCAAATCAAGAATAACTATCCAGATCCAAATACGCCTACTGTATTTTATTCATATAATAAAGCATTCAAAATATGAAGTAGAAAATCAAGATTTTAGCATGTAATAGTTCTATAGTGGTATACGGTGATATCCCCATACTTTGAGTGGCTAGGATGGCACTTAGTGTTAGTTTTATTGAATAAGAATCAATATTATACAATACTAAATAAAATTCACACAGCACTCCCCAAATAGATGGGGTTTCCGTAATGTAGTTTTTGTTTATCAATACAAAGTGACCAAAAACCCACATTATTTTGTTATAATATGGAGTTTTATACCCCACTAAACCTTTTTTCTATGTCCAAATTCATTGATTTTCTAGTTTATCATGTATCCAATTCAAAATTACTTATTATTTTCTAAATAAAATCAAAGAAACGATACATTTTCTTGTTAAGTGAAATATTGATAAATTCTTATAGGTATATAGGATAATAAATCGGTTAAGAAATGCCCAAATTTAGTCGTACCACTACTTAAATATCTAAAAAATTTTATTTTAATATACAGGAGTAATAAAAATGTAAAATTGTATAAAATTATTCAGCAATATTAAAAAAATAAACAAAAAACTAAAAAGCAAAATACTTTATTGATCTAAAAAATAACAATACGTTTACATTTTATCAAAAATCTTGTTAGTTAATATCACTATTTTACTTTTTTTGGTAGAAAATTAAAATATATTAAA